CCCCTAGGCTATAATCATGTTGATAGTGAAACTGTCGGGAGTAAATCCTGTGCCAGTCCAAAGGGCAGAAAGGCGAATGCTGGAGACAGATTTGTTATCAAAAGGTTCCATGTTCAATAACTAAGCAGGCAGAGAGGCTGCTGTATGCAGGAGGTTTTGGTCTGTAACTGCTACACTGACTGTTCCAGAGCTAAGGGGTCGTGGAGGTTGTTCTTTGCTGTTTGGGAGGGGAGCAGCTTCTGCTCTGCTCTGTGACAGGGGTCTCCAAACAAATCTGGTTTGGCTGCCATTATTGCAACATTTTTTTAAATGATTTTTTTTTACCCTACTCCAGCTAAGCACTGAAATGAAAATCTGTCGTAGCCTTCGCCTCTCAGGCATGGGGTCCTTAGCTAATGAAAGAGGGAGCATCCCCTTCAGACCACGTTCCCTGACCTGTCGGCTCGAGGTCGCAGACGCGTGCAGGACAGGCACACCTGGTAGGTTCTCCAGGAAAGGTGTGAGGAAGCCATCAACGTGCTAGACGGCCAGAACGGGAGCTGGAGAGCAGCCTGTCTGACCCTGATGAGCCCTGGAGATTTCAGTGCAAACGGGGGGCCTGAGTGCTGTTGGGGGGCAAGGGGGGGGTTAGGGTGACTGCTGACACTGATGATGCTGTCACTGTCTGACCTGCCTGCGGGGACCAGCTATCTCTCTCTCTCTCTCTCTCTCTCACACACACACACACACACACACACACACAATTCCACTGTACCATTTTGTTTAAATAGCTAATGCTACAATGATGGATCATTAACTACTGATAAATCCCAGTACAGTGATGGGTTGTTATCTGTCAGATAAATTTATTACAGGCCCTTACTGTACAATTATACCAACAATTAACATTTCATTATCTCATATGCCTATAAATTGAACCGCACTTACGTTTCATGAATACATAAAATCTATATGACCTATAATCTTACAGTAATCACTTATTCAGATGTAAATTTGTGAAGCATCATATCTGGCTAGGATTGTCTGCATAGGATATGTAGTCTGGCTCTGGAGGGTCATGATTTTCATTGTATGCAATACAGTTTATGTTGGGTTTCTTGCATCCGCGTGCCTTTATTTATGGCGTTCTTAAATGGTATCCTACACGACCTCCTTTGCACTCCTTTGCTGGTCACTGACTGCACATCCTTGATCAGTCTGCCTTGTGACACTTCAGTCGTTTTCTATTTTTCTGCTTTTTTCAGAGTAGGTTAGATAAGTCCGCAGACAGATCACATGGTGCTCACACTGATGACAGTGTTTACCTGTCCTGTCCTGTCCTGTCCATGCCACGCAAGTAGCCAGCATTTAACTCAATAAAAAACACGAGCCATAACACTGATACAGAGTATAAACTCCCATTGGAACTGTTTGACTTTCCTTAGTGTTTAATTTTAAATCCTGAAAAATATAATTAAATGCCCAGGTAATACACCACATTCCCGACACAGACGGGTTCCCCTTGTTTACAGCTGTAATTACAGATTACTTGTATTCCTTAGAAGTGGCACTTGCACAGGCCGATGTTTTTGTGGCGGTTCACAGTTGAGCCCCAGCTTGGACAGCTCCGTGCTTGACAGCCAGTGGTGGTTTTGTTCGAATGCCAGTGTGCAGTTTACCGAACCCGCAGCGCAGTGCTGCCATCCAGTTTGCTGTGCCGCAGGGGCCTTCGAGGCTGGCCGCCCGGCCAGGCAGGCCTGTGTGTATGTATTCAGTAAACTACAAAACAACCCTTGGCTGTATTCATGTAGAAAAACTGGCTGTATTTTAAGCTACCTATTTGCAGTTTAAAATGGAAGGAGTGCAGGACTCCCATTTGGTTGTACAGCACTTGGCGAAGTTGAGGGATTTAAGAAGCGTGAATATGTATATTTTTTCCCCTGCTTTCCAAAGACAGATAGGTTGCTGGATTGTGAGTTGAAGGTGGCAGGTTTAAACCTACTCTCCTGCTGCTGTCCTGTTAGGCTGTAGTTGTGGATGAGCCCTGTCTCTCTTGAATCTGGCACTGAGTATGTGTTGACCTGGTGTTGGGATGTGACTTAGTACTGTGAGGGTATTGTCTTCCCCCACAGATTTATTGGCTTGCCCGTCTGCCCCCTGAGGTGTAAAGGCTCTTCCCAGCAATCAAGCAGGTCGTGTCCCCCCCCCCCCCCGTGGCCATCAGCGAGTCGCCGATTTGCTTGCGGAACAGTGTGAAACACTCTCGTCATTAGCTTTGTGTTGGGATTCAGAGGTCGGTAGGGACCCTGTTGGCAGTCTGTCCTCACAGTGTTTTTCTTGGACATTGTCTGGCTGAAGCAGGCCCTCATTCCAGATGCACTGCTGTGCGGCACAAGTCCACTGCCAGCATATGAATGGTAGGATGTGGTATCAGCGGCTACTGGTCATTATATCAACTGCAGATCCCCTTGTGCAAATGGCTTTTTGGTATTGTTGTTGATCCTGTCCAATGTAAGGATAGATTATTAAACTTTCTTTTTGAAGGGCTGAAAAGTCCTTTTACTGCTACACAAACTTCCCTTTTCTGTGTGTGTAAATGCATGTGTGAGTGAGTGCATGTACCTGTAAGAGTCAGCAGGGGGCAGGTGTGCACAATTGAGTGAAGCGCTCTATTCATTGATAAACAAGACCTGCTCCCTAATCAGATAAGCTGACATCAATGATATGCCACTAAAGTCTTCCCCTGTGACGACACCGCCCCCCCCCCCCCAAAATCACTGGCTAATGAGATTACAGTGTGACTGAGGTCTGCCTGTCAGCACGTACATCTGGGAGCTCTGCACCCACCTCGCTCACCCCTGTAAGAGGCCAGAGCGACTCCCTGGCCTTCCTGCTGCGGCTCAGAGTCAAAGGGTCACAGGTTACCTCACTGCTTCGCCTCGTCTCCCTAAGCTGGGGTTTGGTTTTTCTTTTGTTGCCCCAGGAAACCCCGGATCAACTCTCAGCTTGTGGCCCAGCAGGTGGCCCAACAGTACGCCACCCCTCCCCCGCCGAAGAAGGAGAAGAGGGAGCGGACCGAGCGGCCGGAGAAGGACCGGCAGGACGGCGACCGGCCCGACAGGGTCCACCCGGACGAGGAGACGCCCGAGCAGGTTCTCCCCGACCTGGAGTGGCCTGACGGTATCCGTCCCGAAGCCAATCAGGTCCACCCAGACGAGGAGAAGCTGCAGATGGAGAGGCTCGACAAAGAGAAGCCGGACAGAGAAAAAGACGTCACTCCCACCAAAAAGACCAGTGTCAAAAAGACAAAGTAAGTATCCAGACTGAGCTGCGTTTTAAACGTCGGTGGTCCCTGGGGGGGGGTTCACTAGCACCCACTACTCTGCTGTCCCACCTAGACCCAAGTCAGACACGCACCAGAGTCCCCCTAGTGAAAAACACAGCGTCCGGTCAGGAAACTCGACGAAGAGCAGCAACTCTCGCATTTCAAGGTAACCCTCTCTGTTCTTTGCCCTTAAGTAGCTCATGTCAGCATATGTCTGTGTGTGTCTGTTTGTGTATGCATAGTGAATTTGTTTTGTATCTTTGTTCCTGTGTGTTGTCCGAGTGATTTAGCTCTGCAGTCTCAGATCCTGCCTCAGCCTTCCCTAATTTATGTCCTCAAGAAAAACCCATTTCTTTTATTAATTGAATTATTAATGAGTTTGTCTTCTGACTTGAAATGGAGCAGTAAACTGCCAGCCCGCCCTGTATAGTGTGTCATTGTGTCTCGTTTCGAGCCTCTCCTTCATCTTCATCCCGTGCCGACTTGCTCTGTGTAGCACGTCACCATCAATATGTCTCGTCACGAGCCTCTCTCTCTATCTTCATCCCGTGCCGACTCGCTCCGCGTAGCGTGTCATCGTCAGTACATCTCGTCACGAGCCCCCCTGTCCATTTTCTTCCCCCACAGGCCGAAGCTGAAAAACGTGGACCGGAGCACCGCCCAGCAGCTGGCAGTGACGGTGGGCAACGTGACCGTCATCATCACGGACTTTAAGGAGAAGACGCGCTCCTCGTCCACGTCTTCGTCCACGGCAGCGTCCAGCACTGGATCGGAGCAACAGCAGCATAGCTCGGGCTCGTCTCGTGCCTCCACCCCGAAAGGGCACCTCTCTACGGGGCACGACGAGTCCTTCTGAGGACGTCCAGCCGGAGGGGTGGGCGAGCTGTGTAAAGAATGCAAGTGCACTTGGACGTGCAAGCCCCTCCCACCCACGCCTGTCCCCCGAGGGAGCCCGGACACTAACCCATTCCGTAATTTTAACACGTTTTCCCCAAGGATCCTTTGTAAATGAATGTGTTGCTGAATCAACGTTTCTTATGGAAGAAAATTTTTGCTCTGCGGTTTCCATGTACATTTTAGCCATTTTAACCACCCGTATTTGTTATTTATTGCTAGTGGCAATTGTATATTTAGCAACAGTTTTCATTCTATCCAGACATTTTCCAGTAGCAGTTTTTGGCTTCTCCCCCCACTTCGGCCCACTGTCCTACACACAGAGACACACGCGCGCACACGCAGAGACACACGCGCGCACACGCAGAGACACGCGCGCACACACACGCAGAGACGCGCGCACACACACGCAGAGACGCGCGCACACACACGCAGAGACGCGCGCACACACACGCAGAGACACACGCGCGCACACGCAGAGACGACACAAAGCAATTCCTGCATCTTGACATGATGCCTCAACGGGACCCACTGTGAAGAATGGGACCATCCATCCATCCATCCATCCATCCATCCATCCATCCATCCATCCATTCATCCATCCATCAGTCCTCCCTCTGAAACTGCCAGTAGCACAGCACTGACACCCAGGAGCAAAAAAAAAAACTCCTTGTCTGCACTTATTCCCCCCACCAATTATCCACAATACACAGACTCAACCTTTCCAAACCATGGTGGGGGGGTTTTCAGAAGCATCGGGCAGTTTGCGTTCCAGACGGCCCTGAAACACGCTTCACATGCGTAGCTTCAGCGATGGCAGCACTGCAGTTACAGACGGGACAGAAGACGTGCTGGAATCGCCGGGGGGGTGGGGTATGTAGTTTAATTACATACCCAAATTTCACGCTTCCCAACTGTGACTCTTGGAGTATCGTGGTGAATCAGCTCATGCTTCCGTCACAGCCATCTGTTTTT